AAAACTTTTAAACTTTTAAAACTTTTAAAACTTTTAAAACTTTTAAAGGTTTTAAAAGTTTTGAAAGTTTTAAAAGTTTTAAAAGTTTTAAAAGCTTTGGGCCGTTTAAAAGTTCTAAAAGCTTGGAAACCTTTAAAAGTTTGAAAGCCTTCAAAACTTTTCAAACTTTCAAAACTTTTAAAACCTTTAAAAGACGAAACGACACGAGGCCACGGGTCAAATAATACATAAAGGGTTCTCTTACATATATATATATATATATGTGTGTGTGTACAAATACATATTGGAAAAATGTTTATGTGTTCCTCGAACTGCGTCGCCAACTCTCTCTCCCATCGGGCGCTCATCGTGGCCAAAAGCGATGCACAGAAGAACAGTGCCTCGGTTAAGGGTTGATGGCTTGGTTAAGAGGTTGTCTAGCTGCCCTGGCAGTTGCAGGACGTGCGCCGTCAATATTTCATCAAAGAAGTATACATGACAAGGAGCGCTCTGCAGTGATTATTCTACGAGCCCTGGACGCTTCTACCAGTTCTACCCGACTGCCCCTGCACTCTGGTAATAGCCTCTAGACTCTATACGAAGGTGCTATCACATCCTGACTGGCTTTCGAGAGGGCATGGGTGCTAGCACATTAGCCAGCGTCATCGCTATTTCAGAGCCATCCCGCTCATGCCAACGGCAATCCATTCTCCGCTGCTCCACGTCTGCATCTAAAAGCTTTATGCAGGTTGGCCCCTCAAAACCTCTGACAAATCTCCGCGAATAAGATCCTCTTCAGCCCAATAAGAGGAAAATATGAAATGTCCCACAGGCCTACCTAGTTAACTAACCCACTCGGAAGGCTCTACGATCCCGTGACACCTTGCGAGATCGAACACAATCCGCAGACACCACAGGAAAGCTGCAACAACCAATGAAACGCAAAAAAGCCTTTCAAGTCTGTTTATCCTGAGGTAGCGTAGAAAGACGAAGCCTTAACCCCTTTTTAATGTTCCAATCTCAACGGCTGAAGCAGGAGCCGAGAAAATGGGGTCCAAGCGATGTTGAACACGTTGGGCCAAGAGAAGTAAAGCCCACCTGTCTCCTGCGGACAGAATCACAACCCTAAACCCTAAACCCTAAACCCTAAACCCTAAACCCTAAACCCTAAACCCTAAACCCTAAACCCCAAAACCCTAACCCTTGAAACATCCTCAGCCCTAAACCGTCGATACCATGGTTATCCTCGCTACCATCATGCTGACTTCCGGTGAAGGGTTTTGGGTTTAGGGTTTAGGGTTTAGGGTTTAGGGTTTAGGGTTTAGGGTTTAGGGTTTAGGGCAGTATTGGATTCAGCTCTTCAGCTTGGTAGTAACGCAGTATTGCATGCCCTACACCCTTAACTCCCCTTTAAATCCTATAAACACTATAAACCAGGGTTTAGGGTTTAGGGTTTAGGGTTTAGGGTTTAGGGTTTAGGGTTAGACCTGCACTCTAAACTCTAAACCCCCAAACCCTGGAGACGTAAGCCCTAAAGCCTAATTATAAACCCTAATGCCCTGAACCCTACAGACCCTATGTTACATCCTAAAACCCTAACCCTCAAACCTTAGAAGAAACCCTAGGCCCTAAACCCAACCCATATAGATCCCTTGTAGGAACCCCGAAAAACCCTACGAAGAACCCTAAATCCTAAACCTCTGGCCTTGCGCAAACCGACGCTTTGTAGCACCACGCTGGTCACACGCTCGCGGCCGGTTCCGATGGAACACAGCCTGGTTTTGGCGTGTACTGGGTTCTTGGTAAAGGATTTAATGTATAAGTTGCCGGAATATGGATCTATGGCAAACAATTAATTGGGTTACCTTTTTATGGAAACTAAAACTAAACCCTTTAACAAAAACCCAGTGCCGGGTGTAGGCTTCAGATCATGCTTCAGGCTCATGGTTGACAGGGTTCAGGGTTTCGGGCTTAGGGTTGAGGGTTTAGGATTTAGGGTTTCGGGTCCAGGGTTGGGGATGCCGTTGCTTTTCCAGTCGTGGATCTGGATTAAGGATTCAAGGTATAGGGGAAGATGGCTTCAGGCGCGGAGTGATATCAGCGGCCAGGGCTTCGGCGAGCGGACAGTCGGAACCCCAGGATGTTGTCATCACTAATGCTTTACTCGTCTCAAGCACGACAACAAACGGGCCATTCATGGATTCGGTCCGGTGCCGATGTGCCAACACTGAACTTTGCACGAAATGCTACGGTGTTTGAGGATACAGTCTGCTTGTGCTTGCTAATCACTTGTCGCAACTATCGGGATCCCTCGCTGCACATTTTCTTAATACCAAACGAGAACGTGCTGCCTGTCGTCGTCGTCGTCGTCGCCGTGGTCGTCGTAGCCCTTTAAGCAACATCTGCATCAGCATTCATTGTGGCAGTGGTCGCTGTTTTAGCAGTGGCGACCACGACGACAACGACTACGGCTCCTGCTGATACTACTACCACTACCACTACCACTACCACTACCACTACCACTACCACTACTACTACTACTACTACTACTACTACTACTACTACTACTACGCTACCTTTAGAGGTAACGGCAGCTAAGACTCCAGGCTTCAAGCTTGGCTTTGTTGGTACCAGGGCAGTTCAACAAGCTTCCGTGTTTTTGGAGGCCTTCCGCCAGGGTTTCGGGTTTAGGGTTGAGGGTTTTGGGTTTGTGTAGGATAGGAATTAGGTTGAGGCTTTAGGTTGAGCTGTGGGGCAAGATGCAACGCTGCATCCCCTGCAACAGGAGAAGTGGTTTAGCATTGAACTCCAAAACTCTGGAGATAACCGAAAACGTAAAGTAAGGACGTCTATAAGCCGAAGAGGCTGAAGCACATAAAAAGGACCGCTACGGGGATACTAATATCAATAATTGCGACCGGGATACTGAAACCTAAACCCTAAACCCTAAACCATGATCAGACGACAGCTGATTCCTCAGGCTCCGACTGTGGCGTGTGCTCGAGGGCGAGGCACTGCCAAGGGGAAAGGAAACCAGTCGGACCTGCCACTTTGAAGTGCTTTGCGATCATGGGCACCACCATGTTTATCTCTTACCAACAAGAGTTGCGGTCTGGTTCCCTCTTGGGGCTATATTAAAAATGACCATTTCTAATCCTTATTGGGTAAAAAAGCAAAACTGTATCCAACAAGGACCCAGTGGTTGTGGTGGTAGCGGTGCAGACTGACCCAAACTTGTTGGTCGACGCCCCAGCACGAATCTCACACCCTTGCACCCCAAACCCGGTCGAAGACTAATGTAGGGGCCTTAACAACTAGAATCGGATTCTTAGGGTTCCTTATTATGACTATAATAAAATATACCCCAACCCCTAGTCTAATTTTTCAGGCCCCAAGACTAGAATCCGAAACTTGGAACCCCAAGTTCGAAGACCTACCGCTCGCAGGCTTGTGAGATGGCTGAAGCAGGGCTCAACCGGAAAACACAACAAAACAAGACTCCGCCCCCGCCGCATCCGTTCGAATCGGAGATGTGTTGGAGATCCTTGCACTCCTGTTAAGTATCCCAAAGGCTCCATGTACCCATATAGTAGATACTTAGGCCTTAAAGTACCTATATAGGGACCCCTTTAAGGCCTAAGTATCTACTCTGAAAGTACATGGAGCCTTGGGGTATGATATCTGAATTTGACTGTGATGAACACTTTTGTGTGTTTTTGTCGGTGCGCGGCCCTTGCACCCATGACCAGTGCAAAGGCCATGGATGTGGCGTCAGCACGACATTCGTCACTAGCTGGTGCCCACACTCACAAAACTTAAAAAGCTGCGTTCCAGCAATATCATGCACGTCGCGCGTCGTGTACGAGCGGCGCAAGCCGACATGAACCATCAGAACTTGCAGCCTAAAGCCTAAACCTGGAGCCTGAACGCAAAAATTCCAAACTGGCGAACACCACCAACAACCAGTTCATAAATACCATGGTCCAAGGAAAAGTCTTTGCATTAGCCAGAGTGATGATCCTTTCGAGCCTAGCGAATTGTTTCTGGACAAGCTTCCCTGTTCATTCTTATGCAATGCTTGGACCATGACATCATACGAAGTAAACCCATGCGATGCGTGTACCATGACATAATACGAAGTAAACCCCCCCGAAGCGAACAGCAGAGCACCAAACCCTGAAAAATCCCTCCGCTAGAGCCTGCCTGCGTCGTCGATCTGCATCAAGAAAGGGCAGGGAAGCGATGGGCATTGATACAGTGACCACACCACCATCACCAGCCTGTGGAGCATCACAACTGGAATCCAGAATGACCCCGCGTGCTCACCATGCGAGGGCTCAAAAGCCTGGCAATAGCCCCCATCCAGGAACGACAACAACAACAACAACGACGACGAC